TTCCCTTGGTGGAAGTCGCCTGACTTTTAGTTGCTTTCCTGCAGATTTTCATTTGGAACGCGAAGCACCGCACTTTAAGCGGAACTTTCCTTTTCTAGGTCCCCCAGTAGTGCCCTTTTACATTTTTTTGGGGGAGGGTTCCCCCACTAACATAGACTACAGAAAAAGGGGTACCCATATTCTCACTCCCTACTGGAGGACCTATTTTTTCTTGGGCCCACATTTTGGGCTCCAGCTACCTTCCCCATTCTTTCCAGGGATCCTTCTTTCTAGAAAACCTCTGGAAACCCAAGGAAACGGATCCGGTTTTTAAGAAAAGAGCGATGGTTGAAAAGAAGGGGAATCAACATTTAGATCCATGTCAACTTGCAGAATTCTCTGGGTGTTGGGCGCTGCTCGCCACCTTTTGTCCTTTGCGCCGCAGTCGTCGGGTGGCGGTGGAGGAAAATGACACCACGTGTGGGGCCCAGACGCCGGTGGTCCGATGGCCGATTTCCCCGCCCCCCCAAACACAGCCCACCAAATCTTGGATCGGTGTTTGCGGGGAGTTTCAGGCCAACTCGCTTGGTTGGACCTGAAACGTTCAGGAAAAAGGCGGGACATGGGTTTGTTGCTTAAATAATTTGTTTGGCCATCTTAGCCAAATCTTTCGACCCGATTGGGGCACATGTGAGCGACTGCTTTTTTTTATTTCCTGAGTTGCAGGCTTGGAGGCGGGATCAGGCGATTATTCAACCGGGCGGCGAGCAACAGACGTAGCTCATGTCTTTGTTCTGCCGTTCAGCAACATTTGTTTGAGCAAGCGCAGCCTAGGGAAGCCAAGAGGAGGTTATTAACAATGGTGGGCGGTGTCCTGACCTGCAAACAAGTGAATCTGCTTGGGCAAGGGGATTAGTCTCACCCAAAAAGACCAGGCAGGTGTTGAAACAAGTCCTGGTTTCAAGATCAAGATGACATAAGTCCGCCAAAGGATCAAAGGGTATTAAGAATACATTTGGAGTAGGCGAACACACTCTACAACCAGTACAATCTCAATCGAATGTCACAATATAAATAGTAGAACAATTGAAGCAAATGCATTCTGCAAGCCAGGTCCTCAAACAACGGAAAGCGCACTCCCTCCGTCCCGGTCCTGCCGAGTCCTCATTGGCGCAAGTCTGAATTGAGGGGAAAAAGAACGCCTAAAAAATAGGCGTCTTTTTTGGTGGACATGTGCGAGCAACCAGTATCGGACCGCCCGGCCCTTTTTCTCTTCTGATCTGCGTCTGGGTCTGTCGTTACCTACTGAAGAAGCGAGCGCCCGCAGGCCGCGCTGAGCGCTAAAAGCATCAAACAAAAATGCAAGACGAAGCCCAAGCACCAGCATCCCCAGCATCCCTGGCATCCCCAGCATCCCGCGTACTTGCTGAGCCGCCAGCACCTCCAGCATCCCCAGCATCTCCGAGGCAGGTCCAAGTGCGAAACACGCAAGCAGTAAGCAAGCAAAGAGAAGCGGAGAAATAGCCGTCTTTTTTTGATTCAGAAAAGACAACAAAAGAGCCAGCTCAACGCAGAAAGCACCTTGCAAAAGCATGGTAAAACGCAGGTTTTTGCGCAAAAATGCAGCGAGCGGGCAATTCCCGGAAAGATGGCAAAGACGCCCAAATTTTAGCAGTTTTTTTTGGACGCAAAATTCTGCAAATCAGGCCGAGCAGCCGACCCCCCCCCCGCCCCGCTCCCCCCCCCCCCGCTTCCCCTGCCCTGTGGCCCAACTCTCAACCGCTTCAAAGAAGCGCTTTCCGTCATCAAGTCATCCCAGATATCAGCAACATTCTATTGAGTTTTGTGGAGGAGAAAGAGCTTGGCCAACATAGCGACGTAGATATTTTAGTACCTGCAACACGTGGTTAAACATGGTAGCGAATATGACCTTGGCTCGATTAACATGTCGGTTGTGAATTAACAGGTTGGTTCACAACAACTTATTTAAACTCAAGTATAACCTGCGCCACGCGACATAAAGGCAGGTGTTTTGGACATGACCCCTGCAGCATTGAAGAGGAATGCACATTTTGTTGTCGTGCGGCCTCCGCTGTGGGCCTCTCTCCTGCACCTGTTTTAGATATATTTGTTCTGAATATTTGGCTTCCCTCCTCTGACAGATTTCTTATTTGGATGTGCTAAGCCTGCCATCTTGAAAGCATTTGTTGCATCAAACATATTTAAATCGTTTATGATGTATTTTAGATCATACATGGGTAGTTCAGTATGACCTATTTGCGCACGAACGTCTCATGCTACCTTTGCGCCATACATGTTTTCCGGGGAAGACATATTCAGTCTGCCCAACACGCATCCAGGGAGATCTTTCGACTTTGCGCTCTTTGGCAAAAAAAGTGATGTGACGTGGGGGCTGTTAAGGACCATGGGCCCATGGGCTCAAAAATTACTGGGCTCTTGCCCGTGGCTCTGAATAAAAACTGGGGAGACACACTCATATTTTGCCGGTTCTCAGGGAATGAGTGGCGCTTTTTTTGTGTGTTCCGCCGGTGCGGAACAAAAAGCACGTCCACTTTTCAATGGCACGATCTGCGGGCCCGTATGAATTCCCGAGGTTTTGCACACACGATCATGCCCGGAATAGATGACCCTTAGATCATGAAAAGAATCTGGACCATGATCCGTACAGAATGTGGTTTTGCACAAATCATCTTGAGGTAAGGACCTCATGGAGACTTTAGGAAGATTGTTCCTGTATTGGCGTGCTTGCGAACTGTTGAGAGCGCGATTTCGCCAGGTAGAGTCCCCTGAGTGGATTGCCGCTTTGCGGACAGCTTTGGGCACGATGTAGCAGTTTATGCTCGCTTCGCTGAGCTCCCATCTTTAAGGCAAGAAGCTTATATAGCTTGTTGCGTTTTGCTCCTCGGTCTTCAGATGATGCTTCTCTTGTGTTTCTTGTCGTATCATACATACACAATCACACACACACACAAGGACAGTGAAGCCTCACAGGGAGCACTTTTCTCTTCAGGATGGGAACCAAGCCAGAGAACAATAGCTCCTCGGGCTCGCCTGTAAAACCAAAGACCGTGACTTTCTGACCCTTTTGGCAAGCCAAAAAGATCGATCGATCGATGCATCAGTCGATCGATTCCGCGCCTTCTCGGCACAGCAGCACCCGAGGAAGTCGGATAGTTCGATCAAGTTGATGGCGACAGACATGTGGTTGGATGAAGCGTGTTATCCCCTTGTTTTGAACGTCGCCATAGTCACCCAGAAGGTTTAATGACCGGATTTTGGACCCCCAAAAGTTAAACACTTGTTGCAGAGGGGTCTCCTTCCAGAAACCAACAGACCTGGAATGTTGAATGAGACGGAACGGCCGTTCGAGAAAAACCGCAGCCCAACTCCGTCCTTTTTTCTAGGGGTAACTTCCCCATTCTTTCCAGGCATCCTTCTTTCTAGAAAACAAAAAACAAAAACAATCTGGAAAAATGGCTGGTTTGTGAAAAGAACGATGGCTTAAAAGAATGGAAAAGGAATCAACCCCGATATTTTTCCCTTTCGCCGTCAGCGTGGCTCAAGTATTTCGCCCGCGCCCCTTCCGCGGCCCATTGCCGGGCCGGGGGCCTTTGCGAGAGATGGGGGGGTACTGAGAGGTGTTGTTTTTTCTTTCTTGTTTTTCCTTCTTTTTTCTTTTTTTCGAGGTCAAGCAAAATTGTGCGTTTCCTTCTTTTTTCTTTTTTTCGAGGTCAAGCCAAATTGTGTTGTTCCTTCTGTTTTCTTTTTTTTCGAGGTCAAGCAAAACTGTTTTTTTTTGTTTAGAGGTCAAGCAATATTGTGTTGTTTGTTGTCTTTGTTCTTTTTTTCGAGGTCAAGCAAAATGGTGTTTTTTGATGTATGTTTTCTTGTTTTCGAGGTCAAGCAAAATGGTGTTTTTTGTTTTCCATTTTCTTTGTTTTCGAGGTCAATCAAAATGTTTTTGTTTTTTTTTTCTCGGTGTCAAACGAAATGGGTGGCATGGCTTGAGTTGGAACCCTTGTGGGTGTTGGTTTCATCCATTGACGCCGGCCAATGGAAAACAAGCTTTTTTTTGTGTCAAGCAAAGTGGGTGGCTCGCCTGTTTTTGAGTCGGTACCCTTTTTGTGGTGTTGGTTTAAAAGGAAGCCAATGGAAAGCCAGGTTTTTGGTGGTTCCCTAAAACAGGACACAGGGTGTCAAGACGGGTTTGTCTTTTCGCGCCAGGCAGGCGACTCTAGCAGGCCACTCCAGGATTTCCCATAAACCTGGTAGCGATTCAGAGTGAAGGGCTAAATCTTGGAACCCTGCAAACTGGCAATGGTTTCTTGTTGGATATCCTTCAAACATCTTTTTGGCCAAACGGGGACCCCGGCCACGTTTTGGCCTCGCTTCGGTGCCACAAACGGCCCTGGAGGTGTTGACAACCCCCCCCCCCCCATATACCTTCTTTTAGAGGGGAGCCCGCCAAAATGGCGCCAAGGTTGTCCTTCGGGCTTTCTTTTAACACCACCAAACATGGGGTACCCCCAAAAAAGGACCCCACATGGCCAGTACCCCACTTGCAAGCTTTGAAGCAGGGAAATTGCTGGCTATGGATCAACTGGGGCTTGTTGAAAGCCGCCCTTTGAAGTTTATCACGTGGAGTTCTTCGAAGATGACCGCGGATTGAGCAAAAGGCTGATGACATCCTGCACCGGTTGGGATGGAGGAAGCCATGAAACAGCATCGGCATTTCGAAGGGACTCTGACTGGACCCTTTTTTTTTTTTTCCGACGGATGACATCAGCTAGTCATACCTTTTGGCTTCTTCACATCTCGGCGACGCAAAGTCTTGGGCCAAGAGAGTCTTACTTCCTGGGTTCATGAACTTTTATGAACTAATGGGAATACCATTTTAGTGGCAAAAAGAAAAAGCTCGGACTTTTTTTGGGCCATCACTCAGCAAGTGAGAAGATTCTTGGCGCCGGCGATGCCTTGGAGTTCACCTCCGGCCAGGTGCCATGTCGATGACCGACCGCCTCAAGGTCCGGGCTGTGAGCAGTCGCTCGGTGGGCGCCGATCTCCGAGCTGCCGAGATGAATAACGCGTCTTTTGAGTCGGAAACCCACATGTCGCCGGGGAATTTCTCCCGAAGAAGCCACCACCTATGGAAGGAACGGCCTTTATGTTTACACAGAATGGGGGTCGATGACATGCATCCAAACTTCATTTTCTCTTCAGCAGTGCTGTGCGACTCGTTTATTTCTGATCCCCTTATCTTCCGAGAATGGCGCCACTTCGGTTCCCGTTCAGCCCTTACGAAAGCCGTCCGGCGTCGCCGGACAGGTTCAGCCGCCGTTGGGTGTTTGGGCCCTTGAGGGTCGCGGCCTTTTCGCAGCACGCTCTTTGGTCTGGGGGCTTTTTTGCCTAAATGGTATCCCTCCCGCTAAGTAACATGGAACCTGATGGGGGGGTTCTGGACGATTCTCCGTTCAAAAGGACCATTTCCCTGTCAGGTTCCATGTCACGTGTCAGGAAATACGTTCTTTCTTGTTGGCGCATCCCTTTGTTCTTTGTGGCTATTTGGTTGGATCTTTGGACTTAAGCCTTTTGGGAAGCAGGTCGGAATTTCCTTTTTAGACCCACAAAAAGTTAAAACCAACGACTTCTTGCAGAGATCTAGGGTTTGATTCCCCATTCTTTCCAACCATCGTTCTTTTCCAAAACCGGCCGTTTTTTGATAGCTTTATTGAGGTTTTTTGGAAGGATCCGGATCCCTGCGTTCAGAATGGAATTGGAAGGTACCCCTGCCAGCCACCAAGTTTCGTGGGCCAAGTTTTGTGGGTCCTAGAATATGGTCTTCGTGAGGTTTTATGTGGATATCGGGTAGTGAGATCAGCCGGCCACCAAGTTTAGTGGGCCACAGGGGTCACCGACGGACTTCCGACAGCGAGAGGAGTACCACCGGACGCTTCGCCAGAAGAGGGGAGAGGAGCTGCTGGGGGCCTTGATGCGAGCGGGGGCGGAGATCTGAGGAGACCGGGCATCGATCGTTTGGTTACCATTTGGCTTCCCCAGAATTAGCTCCCCTGCTTGTTTTTTGCTTATTTGGGGTCTCTTTGTGTTCCACTAACCAGGCAAAGAAGATATTGCTTTGCTGGGGTCCTAATTCCAGCCTAGTTGGGTGTGGGTCAAACTGAAACCACCAGAAAACCACAGGTTTTAGTCCTTGGTTCCATTTACCAGGTTCCATTGAGGGGGTCTGGTGGTTTCCCTTAAAAGAAAGATACCCATCTACACATACCCCTCCAGTGGCGGTCTTTTCTTCCTTTCACTTTGCCCTTTTTTCGTTTTTGTTTTGATAGTTTCCCTTAAAGGCAACTACCAAAGAATAGGTGCCCATACTAACTTCCCAGAAGTTGGTCGTTGTTTTTTGTGCGGGGGGAGGGGTGGGCAGTTCGTTGATTCCAATCCCCATGGCCACGCAGTCATGGGGATGGTGCATCTCGGTATCAGACACAGACAAAGAGAGAGAGAGAGAGAGAAAGAAAGAAAGAAAAGAAAGAAAGAAAGAAAGAAAGAAAGAAAAGAATCAAAGAAAAGAAAGAAAGAAAGAAAGAAAGAAAAGAAAGAAAAGAAAGAAAAGAAAGAAAGAAAGAAAGAAAAGAAAGAAAGAAAGAAAAGAAAGAAATAAAGAAAGAAAGAAAGAAAGAAAGAAGGAAAGAAGGAAAGACGGAAGGAAAGAAAGAAAAGATAGAGAGAGAGAGAGAGAGAGAGAGAAAGAGAGAGCGAGCGACACAGAGAGAGAGAGGGAGATTTAGCGAGAGAGAGAGCAAGGGAGATAAATTTTTTTTCACTTGGGTTTGTAAACAGCAGGGGACCTAAACAAATGGCAGGGTTTCTGAAGGGGTTTCCTGAACAGGGTATCCGAAAAGGGGAGCCCAAAGGGTTGGGCAACTGTTAGTTGGTGGTTTGTAGATTTGAACCCCTGGTTCTTGTGGAGGGTAAATAGACAACCACCGGAACACCACAAATCCACCAATCCAAACCACCAGAAAGCCTGTCTTTTTCCAGGGTGCCTTGTTTCTTGTGGCCTTGAAGCGACACCGAAAGGACACCGAAGCTATTTTATCTGGGGTCCTTAAAAGAATGACGCGCCCAAGTAGAGACCTTTGGGTTTCCCATACCAACCCCAGTCCCCGTTTGGATACCCTGCCCACCTTGTTCAGGAAACCCTTTCAGAAACCCTGTCATTTTCGAGGTCTCCTATTTCTTTCACACCCATGTCTAAAAGAGTCCTCATCTTCTCGCTCTCTCTCTCTCTCTCGATACCGAAATGAACAATCCCCATGACTGTGTCGCCATGGGGATTGTCCTTTTCGAGGTTTTTCAGGACCATCTTGTCGAGGCCACCTTTTTGTTCTTGTGGTTTTAAAGGGACACCGCAAGGACACCCAAGCCATTCTTGCAAACCATGGCACGCTCGAGTGGAGTGACTAGGTCCAGCTAGGTGCCCTTTCTCAGCCCTTTTTGGTTGGGAGGGTTCCCCTACTAAAATAGACTACAGAAAAAAGGTTGGCACCCTTATTCTCCCCCACCTCTCTACTGGACCTAGGTGAAGCTGAAACGGAGGGGTCGGCCGCGGAAACCTCGCCTGAGGTCCATGAAACAAGTGGCCGGATCCTTTGGGGGTCTCTACGCCCGGAAACCCGGAGCTTGCGCGAATCAAATGCGCCTAGGAGGCTCTCCGTCTTCCATTTGCTTTTTTTTTTGGGTGTGTCTTTGTCCCTTCTGGGGTGGAGTTTTAAGGGAACCAAAAGGAACATCTGCCAGTTTTGAGGGCGGATCTATTTTGAGACAAGCCCATTTGTTTTTTCCCCTGTTGGTTTAAAGGTAATGGATCACTACTGGAAATATCCTTTTTGTTTTTCAGGGGACTTAAGCAACTCACACACACACACACATCCATCTGGCAATTTTGGGCGAGATCCCCGGTTTTCTTGAGCACACATCCATGTGGTGCCCAGTTATTTCCCCTTTTGATGGCCCAGTGATTTGCTCGATGGTTAACCTAGTGACAAGACCTTAAGGGGATAAGGGATACCCTTAGAGTGCAATTCTCATTAGAAGACGTTGACAAATCAGCGTTTGCTACACATTTGCAAGGATGGCTTTTGTCATACAGAGCCAGAAAACTTTAGAGCCTCGAGCTTACCAAGCCAAAATCACCGACCCCACGGACTTCCAAGATCTGGACACATGGGAGCAGTAGTTTGTTTGGGAAAACTCGAGGCACCAAGTCACAATATGGAGCTCATTGCGGGTGCTTCCAGGATCAAGGGACACGGGGTAGGGAACGCGGGGTTTGTCATTTTGCGTTTGGAAACTCTGAACACCAACACGGCACTTGGCAAGACGACAAGAACTAGAGACCCTTCATCGGTACTCTCAGGATCTGGTATGGCTCACTCCCTGAGTTCCTGGACTTGAAGCTTTTGGTGAAGGCCCTGTTCGTACAGAAAGCTCAGACTATGCTTTGCGAATCCACTGAAGTGAAATGTGTGTGTGTGTGTGTCCCTCTCTCTGTGTGTGTGTTTGTGTGTGTTTGTGCTTGTGTGTTCTGTGGTTTTGGCTTAGTCTTTGCCGTACGACTTTTTACCGGGTTTGAGCTGCCCGTATCTTCCGGAGTCGAATGCACAGGAGGGGAGAGGTTTGTTTTTCGCCCAGGCGGTTCCCTACAAGCCAAGCAAGCAGCGCAGGTCTCCCCAACAACCCTGGAGCCTTTCCGGAAGCCGCCGGGGAAACAAAAAAAACAGCTCCCATCCAGAGCTTATTCGCGGCGACGCCAAAGCTTTGGGTGTTTAAGGCAAGTTTCCAGACATTTGCTACAGAGATTCAATCACTGGACACATGGTCACAGTAAGCTAATGCGAGTCATATGTTGCATATACGGTCATGGAAAGGAGCTGAATTGGACGCAACTAGACATATAGCACAAGTACGCTAAACAACTGCTAGGCATATGCAAACTGAAACCTCCTGAGGCAAACATACTGTCCGTAAATGCTCAGCTGAGCAGTGTCAGCTATTTGTGCAAGAGGTTCAACTTGTTGTTGTTTTTGTGTTTTTTTTTTTTTTTCTCTCTCTCTCTCTCTCGCTTGTTTCACCGGATTTATTCTTAAGAGCCGCCGGCTCATTTCACCAACTTTTGCTGCGGTCGCGGGACTGAGTGGTGGCATGTTCAATTGATTTGGATGATTGAAAACTGTCGGATTTTGATGGCTGATGTATGTTTGACTTGGATGATTGGTATTTTGAGGATTGACATGGCTGTTGGTCAAAACCAATGGGATCCCATTTTGGGGTAGGTGCACCGCCCATTTTAGAGCCTATTTGAGTGGGGATTGGGATGTTCACTGGGGGTACGATCTGGATTTTGACCCATGGCCACATTGGTCCCGGAAATGATAGGACTTTAACTTTTTGCCAACCAATGGGTTTTCCGTACTAAACCACTGAAAGTTAAACGTTTAGCAGGGGGCAGAAAGCAACCGAGGATTGATCTATGCTTGATGACTCTGACACATCTTTGACTTTGAGCTGGCCTAGCCCCAACACCGTAGCCTCCCTTAAAAAAAGAAGGAATCTATTAGCCGACCCAAACAACCAATAAACATAACACCCCAAAACTCCCCACGGTAGCACCCGCCCCGTGGGCCCTCGCCGGTACGCAGGGCCCCCTGGGGAGTAGAAAAAGCACGGCGGACAGAAGTCAGCATCTCGTTGTGGTGACTCGGCACTCTTTCCAGTACTCGTCTCCAGGGAAGCCAAACCGCAACCGCCCGTTTCGGGGGTTGCCCCAAATCGGCCACACGCTTATTGGAGCAACTGTCGATATGATTGGTAGTCTACTTGTTGGGTGAGGGAGGAAATCGTCACATTGCCCGTGGGTCTGCATGATGTATATACATGTTTGCAACCAGACTACAACTAAAGGTGAATTATTTGCTCGGCTTCCGCAGTTGGTCATCCACATGTTGCAGTACTTCGACATTTGGACGCTGCTCGGCAACGAATGGGTTTACTTTTTGGGACCCCCGAAGACATGGGCGTGCCTTTTTTGCTGGTGCCCTCTTTTTGTAGGTTTGAAGGGAAACCGAAAGGACACCCACCCATTTTGTGGGTCCTTTAAAGAAAGGCACACCCACATCATCACATGTTGATTTGGGCAAACGGCGCGTTGGGCAAAGCACGGCAAGAGAACTTAGAAAGTTTTGGTGAAGCAGCATTTCGCATGACATTGACCAAAACCATGTGTGAATAGGAGGTCTCGGGGGACGATGTTGCAAGAAACAAGAAAGCCAACATGACAACACTTTGGGCATGTTCCTAGTTTTGACATTCCAAGAGACAAGACGAACGTTGGCCACGGGATTCTACCCATGGCTGCCAAAGCTGGGGCCACGTGCTCCCTGACGTTTTTCATAAAATGGGGGGGGGGGGGGGGTGTATGCAGTGCAAGCGCAGAACAGGAAAAGGGGGGGCAACTTGCCATAGCTGTCAGCAGAAGCATACTCGAGATTCTTCGATGTGTTTGGCTGAGGGATTTGGGGATCCAGGATTCCGTGGATCACCAAAGTATCAAACTCTTTGTGGCTGCGTGGTAGGATCTTTGGGCTTTATTCGGTTTTTGGAAATTTTTACTGGACCCACAAAAAGTTAAGCATTTTGCAGAGGGGTCAACATCAACTAAAAGCTTTGGGGGAGACTCACATGTCAGTGCATTGTTGTGTACGAACATAAATCGGTATCGCCATCTATGAAAAAGGGTATGCTACGAAACACCCTCAACCAAATCACCACAGGTCCATGGGAGATACTCGCCGAACGTCCCTTGCAGGACAGATTCTATCGGATAGAGCAAGGATGCACACCACTATGGGCACTTATATGAGATGGTACTACTGCCTGGCTTAAGATGATTACAGTACACCTCATAGAAATTATTACGACTGTGCTGGTACAACCAAAGGTCAATGGGTTTTGGCTGCAGCTCATGTGCTGTTTGGTTTGGCTCCGGACAAAGGCAGACCACCTTTCAAAGGATTGGTACGCAGGATGATGCCCAGAAGTTTCACTATGATCTCCTGACTTGGTGGCTCCCAGCCATCCTGTTCCTTAGCTTTTTAGCTTTTTAGAGTTTAGTGGTAGTTTCCATTTAACCCACTAAAAGTTAAACTTTTAGCGGGGGATCTGAAAACGGGCAGCCCAGCTGAGACAGATCGAAATAGGAGAAAAAGACATAAAATGAGAGTCCTTATCCATGCCAAGGAGTCCCAACCAGTCATGAAGCGGCTCCTAGGCAGGTTCTGGATTTGACAAAAGAAAAGTCACTTCTCCAAAGGGAAGTGAACGTTTAGCCTTTCGGCTTGCTGGAATCTCTTGGCCCATCTTTACGTCCTGGCAGATGTATCTCATAGACGCCAGCAGGAAATTCGGCAAGTTAACCCAGTACGCAAACAAACAAAGGGATTTGGCCTAATCTTGGTTGATTTTGATAGGGGGGGTGTCCCCTTTTAGTGGGGATTCAGACCACTTTTGGAGGACCCCCCCCCTAACAGTGGGACGGGTTATTAATACTGGGTCAACATTACCTGTGGAGTTTCCTGCTGGTTTCATATGAATCTCAGACCGCCTGGCGCTCTGCTCTCTAGGCTTTTGCTGCTGATGGTGGGCATTTACTTCGTGTACAGGCGTGGCGTCAGTTTTTTTGGGAAAAGCATGCCGATGAAAACCGCGAAGCGAACGCCTCGGTTCCCCTACTAAGCATGCCGATGAAAACCGCGAAGCGAACGCCTCGGTTCCCCTACTAAAATAGACTACAGGAAAAAAGTTGGTACCCTTATTCTAACCTCTCTCTATTGCACCGGAGACTCTGATCACAATGGCACCAATGAAGCCATCCTTCAACTTCCTTCCAATTGGTGGTTTGGATTGGTGGTTCGGTGGTTAGGGGCGTGGCTCCCCTTTTACCCTGTACAAGAACCGGGGGTTCAACTCCAGATCCAAAGCGCCGGGCTCTAAACCACCAATGAAGGTTTAACCTTGAATCATGTTTCGAGGAAACTATTGGGCGGGCGGGGGGGGGGGGGGCGTGAGTGGAGGTTGTCCATTTCCGGGAATATTAAGATGGACCAGACATGGTTTTGTTCGGGGTATTTCGGGGTACTGTATGACTCCTTTAGGGAGCCATGACACCAATGAGAGAAGGAACGCCACCTTGTTCGGGGGCAACAAAAAGAGAGAGAGAAAAGGGTGTGGCTCAAAATTAAACAGGAGGGGCAACCGCAGGTTTTAGTCCATGTTTCCACTTACCGGGTTTCCATTTTGGTACCGGTTTTTTGAGCCACAGCCAAAAGGTGCGGATCTCCGTTTCTTTCTTTTTGCCTTTCGCGGTTCTAGGAAGCCCGTTTTACGAATACCGGGTCTTGATTTCGACCCGCAGGTTGGGCCTGTCCTTTGGCCCCCCCACTGGCCCACCAAAACAGGAAAGAACAAGAGAAAGAACGGGTGGCCCTAGAGGGGTTACACTCAAAACCCGGGTAGTTGATGAGGGGCAGTCCCTACCATGGACCATCGCTGTGGGTATCTGGCTTTGGAATTGTTTTCATGGATTTCACCATTGTACCAGTCTAGGGGTTGATTCCAACCATTCTTTCAACCGTGGTTCCTGTTTTCGGAGGTTTTCTGGAAAGAAGGATCCCTGGAAAGAATGGACATGGAAGGTAGTCCTAGGACCAGGCTTTGATGATGTCCCCAGCATCACCAGCCCTCGCTTGGACCTAGGACCAACCAACCAACCAGCCAGCCAGCCAACCAGGCAATAAACCAGCCAGGGAACCGGTCAGTGGAGGTTGTTTAGACAGGCACGTTTCAACCGCTTTGCGACACCACGCCTCACCGACTCGCCGACTCGCCGACTCGCCGACTCGCCGTTTTCGGTTTCGACCGGACGGAGGCAGATCCAGGAGAACTGGGACAAGATCATGGCCGCCTTTACTCAGGAGACTAGGTCCCCCAGCTAGGTGCCCTTCTCTGCCCTTTTTTTGGGGGTACGAGAGGTTCAAGCAGCTGACCCTGTCTAGGTCCCCCAGCTAGGTGCGCTTTCTCACCCTGTTTCCCCCACTAAAGTAGACTACAGGAAAGAAGAAGAAGTTGGTACCCTTATTCCAGCCTCTACTGGAAAACCTAGGAGAGGCTTTCAAAAAGGCGGCGGTGATCACCTTCGTGGTATCCCTTTGGTGGATGGGTGGGTTTGTGGCTGAAAATCCCAAGTCCCTTTGGTGGATTTTTTTGGTTTGGGGCTGAAGACACCTTCTTTCCGGTGGATGGGTTGGTCGGAAGGCGGTTTGCGGGATCACCAATTTTCGTCCACCATAGGGCAATCCCGCAGGATGGAGGGAACCCAAAGGGGGGGATCGGTGCACTTTTTTGCAGTGGAAAGGAACAAACAACATTCGGTTGGGTTTGACAGAGATTAACCTTTTTGTCGCCCAATCACAGACAGAGCAGGACCTGGCCAGTTTTTCTCCCATGCCTCTGAAAGGTATTCGCCTCCTGTATCACTCACTCCCTGAGTTCCTGGCCTTCATACATCATTTCAGTGGGAGTCCAAAGGTTTGGTTCATTTTGATCTTGGTCAAACGCATCCTCTTGGTTCCCAGCAATCTGGTCCCTTACCTTTTTCGCTTTTTAGCTGGTTCAGGTGGGGATTTTCGAATTTCGCCCACTAAAAGTTCTCAACTTTTCAGCAGGGCATCTGAGCCCAGGGGAGCTGAAAACGGACAGCCGACCTCAACTCTCAGCAGGGGATCTGAAAACGGACGCAGGGATCTGAGCCTCGACCGCCGCCCAAAGACAAGAAACCTCCAGCCACCCGGCCCGGAGAGACGGAGCGAGCCAAGCGCCAAGCGCCGGCTCAGGAGAGCCCTCCTGAGCGGGTCGCCGTGTCCGGCAAGAGCTCCAAGCCCAAAGGGACCGGAGCGAGCGCGCGGTCGGCTCGAGCGCGCGAGCGAGGGAAGCGGAGCGAGCGGAGGGAAGCGGAGCGAGCGGAGGGAAGCGGAGGGGGGGGGGCGGGGGAGCGGAGTTGGACCCAGGGCGCCCGGTTTTTTGTTTCTTTTCTCTGGGTGTCAGCCTTTAACCGCCAACAACAAAAAAAGCACGGATAGTTGGCCAGCTGAACAAAAATCGGAGCCACGCCGTGCGTGCGTGCGTGCGTGCGTGCGTGCGTGCGTGCGTGCGTGGGTGCGTGCGTGCGTGCGTGCGTGCGTGCGTGCGTGCGTGCGTGCGTGCGTGCGTGCGTGCGTGCGTGCGTGCGTGCGTGCGTGCGTGCGTGCGTGCGTGCGTGCGTGTGTGTGTGTGTGTGTGTGTGTGTGTGTGTGTGTGTGTGTGTGTGTGTGTGTGTGTGTGTGTGTGTGTGTGTGTGTGTGTGTGTGTGTGTGTGTGTGTGTGTGTGTGTGTGTGTGTGTGTGCGGGTGTGTGTGTGTGTGTGTGTGTGTGTGTGTGTTGGGACTCCCTCTGTTTTGGGACTCTCTCTGTTTTGGGGCTTAACAGGTTTTCAAAAGGACGCCACGCAAATCGTGCGGCGGGTTATAGATTCCCGAGTCTGGCTTTCAACGCGAATCGCAGGAAGAAGGCACAAGGCCGCTCAGAATGAGAAAGAACGAGTGAGTGCCAGCGGGACGAATCGATCGGCAGAAAGAACGAGCACGGGATTTTGTGGTTGATTTGAGGCGAAAGAGATGGATTTGTGTGTGTTTTGGAGGATAGCCTCTTTCTGTTTAGATTGATCTAAAGGAAAGCCCAAACCATACATTGACATTTTGCGATGTTCAACCGCTTTGGTGGCTTAGCGGTTAGTTGGATGCAGATGGGGACGTACCCACTTCATTTCCGTTCCAAACAAATCACTTGACGAGCTACAGTCAGCTAGTCCTAAGATGGCAGCATAGGCTGAGCGGCTGCAACAAAGACTGGCTGCGAACAGCCAAAGGCAGCTTTCGGTGAATGCATAGACCTCGTGAGCATTGTCTCCTTCCACGCCAAAGACTAGGCGCCATGCGATATCAGCATGTGGCGTGTGGAGGAGATAACCTTGAATTTGCCCTGCCATTCGTTTGGCCAGTGAGACAGAGCACAAAGCGCCAGCGAGAAAAAAGCACTGCTGCCAGCCAAAACAGAGTTCAGCTTTTGACTTTTTGGGATCAGGAAGGGACTGCGCGAAGAAGTATTGACACCCTCTACGGGTCCCTTGATGTAAATCCTGTTGACGACTCGCTTTTTCATCGATGCGAGTTGGAGGACAAGACGACCGTCCTTGGTGGCTCCCAGCCATCCGGTTCCTTAGCTTTTTAGCTCCTTTTAGCGTTGAGTGGTAGTTTCCGAATTTCACCCACTAAAAGTTCTCAACTTTTCAGCCGGGGGATCTGAAAACGGGCAGCCCAGGACCTAAACTTCCACAAGACTGGGAGTGATGGCCCATGTCCTGTCCAGTGCTGTCCAGCGCCTCTCTGGGGCTTTGACGCTGCAGCCGTTTGGCTGAAGCATTTGGTGGTATCTCCGGGGCGTTCGAAAACGTTGTGTTGCGTAATTACGCTATGGACGTGGGCTATTTTAAGAATTCACTGCTCGGATTGCCAGACTTTCGCAGAGTACTGCCATGATGCGATGCGCGCGAGTGAAAGGACACAATGTGTTTATTAATGGCTCGATTTGCGGCAGAGGAAACACATGTGATGAGTGCAGTGTGACCAAACAGCCTGGCGAAAAGGCTTTTGGGGCGGAGCGTTTTTCCCTTCGAGCCTCTGTGAGCATGTCGTGCGGCTGCCTGCAGGGCCTGCAGCAAAGGCGGGGCCCGCTGGTGTTGTGCCAGTCAGGGGTCATACACACGGCACAGACCAGGGTTGTCCTCAAGAACTGCCTGAGAATACTTTTTCTTGGTGGCTCCCAGCCATCCCCTTAGCTTTTTAGACTGCTAGTGTTTAGGGGTAGTTTCCATGTAACCCACTAAAAGTTAAACTTTTAGCGGGGGATCCGAGGGCAGCCAAGTTTTTGAAGCTATGCCGAACTTGCCGCAATGGCGGCAAAAAAAGACCAAGGATTTCGTCATTTGTCTCGGAAGGATGAGATGGGGCAACACAAATCTCCCGTAAAAAGGAGTTTCCCCCCATCCGACAGGTGGGGGGTTGTTACACTTTCAGTGACTCCCAACCCGTCCACCCCGACGGACAGGAACTAACAGCCTGAGGCTTCCAGTGGGATCTTGGGCTGCAGATGATACTAGGTCCCCCAGCTAGGTGCCCTTTTACCGTTTCTTTTCTGGGGGGAGGGTTCCCCTAAAATAGACTACGGAACAGAACAAATCGGTCACCCTTATTCTAACCTCTCTACTGGAGGACCTAGGATAGGAAAGCGTGCTCACGGTAACAGCTGAGGCTGCGATTGACTAGGATCAACGCTGCCTTGCTTCCGTTTGGGTTCGCCTTAGCAGCCAGGACTCCCACTGCGCAGACCAGTTTCGCCCGGCGAATGTCTTGGGTGAGCCACGTAATCAAATCCCGGGTAGATGACTCGGTTAGTAAGGGACGATCCCAACCGGAAATAGCTGCGGCCGCGGCCGCCTTCTTAATTCCTGAAGCATAGTTCTGGGTAGACCATTTTTGTAGCGGGTTTTGATTATGACTTAGGCGGGGATTGTTCGAAGTAACGTAAGTTTTAGTACAACCTCGAGCAGTGAAAGGCAATAATATCTTCGGCATACTTTTCTCGAATCCCTTTGGAGGGGACAAATTGGACCCATGGTTCTCTCACCCTTCTAGGACCCCAGGGTAGCACTCAAGATATAAGTAGCAAGGCCGGGTGGCTCAAATTCGGATGGTAGTTGTTACCCTTTCTTGTGCAGCTTTGTGCAAAGGATTGCAGGTTAGGATTCCAGGGGTAACTTCACCATTCTTTCCAGGAATCTTTCGCAGGGAAATGGCTGAGAACGATGGTTGAGAGTGCAGCATCCCTGTTGTCAGAGGTAGAATCCCTGATAGGGTAGAAAATTGTAAAGTTGGCTCTGCGCAACTTGTCTGGTTTCGCCATTTCGACTTGCGGACGTTTCTCAAAATATGGCGGACACCGGGAAAATAGAAACAATGCCGTCTAGGTTTTGCGTTGAATCCTTTTGCTGCCGCAGACCCCTGCCCCTCCCGTCTACGCGCAGGCTGCAGGGGGCCCTCTCAGTGTTCCAGGCCCCTGGAAACCACGGGGAGGACGTCGCCTCGCTGATTTTGTCGTTCTTTGCATGCGAAGCGACAGAGTTTTACCCTGTTTGTTGTTTGTGGTTTGCGGTTTGTTTTTTGGTGTTTGGTGTGTTGTTTGATTTGATTTGATTTGATTTGATTTGATTTGATTTGATTTGATTTGATTTGATTTGATTTGATTTGATTTGATTTGATTTGATTTGATTGTTTGTTTGTTTGTTTGTTTGTTTGTTTGTTTTTTTTGTTTGCTTTTTGTCTGTGTGCTTGCTTGCTTGCTTGCTTGCTTGCTTGCTTGCTTGCTTGCTTGCTTGCTTGCTTGCTTGCTTGCTTGCTTGCTTGCTTGTTTGTTTGTTTGTTTGTTTGATTGTTTAAACAGCTTGTTTGTTTGTTTGTTTGTTTGCTTGCTTGCTTGCTTGCTTGCTTGCTTGCTTGCTTACTTGCTGCTTGGTTGCTTGTTTGTTTGTTTGTTTGTTCGTTCGTTCGTTCGTTCGTTCGTTCGTTTGTTTGTTGCTGTGGCGGGCGGGCGGGCGGGCGGGCGGGCGGGCGGGCGGGCGGGCGGGAGGGCGGGAGGGAGGAGGGAGGGAGGGAGGGAGGGAAGCAAGGAGGGAAGGGGGTTGTTGTTTCTGAACGTGTTTTTGTGGGGGTATATTATTTTTCGGTGCAATCCTCCAAGCCTGGGTTTGGGGCAGGTTTGAGCCCGGAGGGGCTACCCTTTCTGGATGACCCCCCCCCTCTTGACCGAGTTGTTCAGTCATCCGTCAAGTATTGAAGGGACACTGAGGTTCTTCAGAACCAATTGGAGCAGGGGCCCTCAAATTTCGGAGGGTCGCCTAAGGATGGCGCGAGGTCGCGAGGTGCCAAGGCTCCGCAAGCGACTCCCCCAAAGACCAATGGCGAGTGAGGTCTGTTTTTCCTTCATTTCCACTAGGTCCACCAGTAGTGCCCTTTCTCCCCCTTTTTCGGGGAGGGTTCCCCTACTAAAATAGACTACAGGAAAAAGGGTACCCTTATTCTACCCTCTCTACTGGAGGACCTAGGCCAGCTGGGCTTGTTGCTAGACCGAAGCCCAAACCTTGCGGGACCCAACTCCCTTTGCAAGCAGAGTCAACTCTTGGGGGTTGGATTCATTGTGCCCTGGAATTTGTGGGCCTCTTGGTGTATACGCACTGGGATTCAGGCCATCAGTAGAACGATGGGGGTTTATAGTTTGTCTTACCGGGGTTTCATCATCCAAATTGGGCCCCCTTCGGCCATTCTTTGATGGGAATCGGTTGAACTCCGGGGTTGGTTTCCTACAAACCAGCCTTGGAGGTATCCCTCGTACGGATTTCCATTCTAATCTCTAGGGGTTGATTCCTTGTCCATTCTTTTCAACCATCGTTCTTTCCAAAAACCAGATCCGTTTTCCGGGGGAAAACCGGAAGGTTTTCTAGAAGGATCCGGATCCCTGGATTCAGAATTGGAAGGTATAGAAAATTCGTGGAATCCCGACGGGAATCGAACGTCGAGCGAGGAGCGGGAAGCCTTCGAACGGACCGTGGACTTCCTCTCCTCAGTGCCGTTATTCAAGAAGCAGCTGCTTGGCGAAGCCTCCGTTGAGTGGTTGGACCGAAAGAGTTCTGAACCCGGCCTAAAGGGGGCACCCCCTATCAATCGAGCCAGGGGTTAATTCAACCCCTGGCTCGTGCAGAGGGTAATGGAAAAACTCACCCGAGATGAAAAGAGAGATCATCTCTTGGTGGCTCCCAGCCATCCGGTTTCTTAACTTTTTAGATCCTTTTAGAGTTTAGAGGTCGTTTCCGAATTTCACCCACTAAAAGTTCTCAACTTTTAGCGGGGGATCTGAGGGCAGCCCAGGGTTGGTGGTTTGGTTGGACCAAAAGAGTTCTGAACCCGCCCTACAGCGGGAACCCCCTATCAATCAACCAAGGGTTTTTGCCAGTATTCGTAGGGTGTCATTCATCCCAAGTGGTACAAAATGGGTTCTGTCCATAAAATGGATTCAAAAACCCATAAGCCTCATCCGGGCTTCAGTCTCAGGCCTTCAACCCCTGTGCAGACGAAAAAAGGGGAAAACCCACCCGAGATGAAAAGGGATATCATCTCATTTCCGATGATCACGAGATGGGTGGCTGCCCTATCTAGGTCCCCCAGCTAGGTGCCGTTTTACCGTTTCTTTAGGGTTCTTGGGTTCCCCTACTAAAATCGACTACGGAAAAAAAACGAAAAACAAAAAACCCGTTGGTACCAACTTATTCTAACCTCTCTACTGGAGGGCCCAGCTGTAGTTGCAGGGCTTCACTGGGGGGTTGGCTGGGATCATCGGATCCAACCTGGCCTCCGACCCTCGTAGAAACTGATCTCGTCAGCCCCGAACTCACCCGCTCGAACCTTGAGGTTTCCCCAAAGGCCCCCCAAAAAGGCCGGAAGTTAGGACCCCGAAAGGCAGCTTCGGATTTTCTCCAGACTCGTCAGGGCTTCTTTAGGTCCCCTTTCAGTACGGACATCCTCTATGTCACTCGGTTCCTTTGACCTTTTTTTTTTGCTGCGTTTCTGCAGTTGTTTGTTCAATCACCAACCAAGAGGGGGGTCCACCGTCTTGAGAAGCACTCCCTTCCCAGGTTGCCGAAGTCCGAGTTGCCGAAGGTAGCGCAGGAGTTGAAGCGAAGGCACGGGAGCGGTGCGGTTCGGGTGGGGGTTATTGAATAGGATTCCTGACAAGAAACATGGGTGTGTGCTTTTTCAGGGTACCCTTTCTATAAGGATGGTTTCGAAGACCAACAAATTGGGACACAAGAACATGAGTGGGTGTTTTTTTGAGGGTACCCTTTTTTGAAGAATAGTTTTGAAGGCAGACCAAAAATGAGGGGACTGTCCATTTTGGGAGTCCCCCTATTTTGAGACAAGCCCGGGTGTGGGCCAGCCTCCAACCAGCTTTACCATCGACTCACATGGCTGTGAATTTTGATGCGGGTCACGCTTCCAAATGGTTGGTGAACATTACCTCGACCTAAGTGATGTCCAACAAAGGGTCCTCAAATAACTTGGCGGTTCCCAGCCATCCGATTCCTTCGTTTTTATTCATTGAGTTGGTTTCATTGCAGGTTTTCATTTCACCCACTACAGGTGAAGCTTTAGCAGGGGATCTGAGGGCTGGGTTCATCTTTACCAGACGTCTAGGAGTTGATTCCAACCATTCTTGGCAACCGTCGTTCTTTTCGAATTCAACAAAAAATGACGATCGCCGTTGTCCGTTTTCAGCCTGGGTTTCCGGAGCTTTTCACGCGACAGATTCGGACTGAACACGGACATGGACGGTGGTTCCAAAGGGATCGCACCAAGTTTCCATGCCAGTTTGCTGGGCCATGGACCATGGGTTCACCGGTTTTTGGAGAGGCGGACTCACGCGCAGGACTTGGCAGCCGGGTCAGCAGTTGGTGAGCCTTTCGGCAAAAAAGAAACACGAATTGTCTTGCCGGCCGCAGCCTCGCCGCGGCCTGCCCAGTTTGTTGTTGGTTTTGGTTCACAAAAACCATACACGGGTTTGTTGGTTCATCATTATTAGTATGATTGTCATAATAATAATGATGATAATAATCATGACAGCAATTATAATATTTAATATTGTTGTTATTAACAATTATTATTATTATTATTATTATTATTATTATTATTATTATTATTATTATTATTATTATTATTATTATTATTATTATTATTATCATCATCATCATCATCATCATCATCATCATCATCATCATCATCATCATCATCATTATTATTATTATTAATTATTAATTATTAATTATTAATTATTAATTATTATTAATGATTATTAATTATTATTAATTATTATTAATTATTATTAATACTATTATTATTACTATCGTTGTTGTTTATTAGTACTATTGTTTATATATATATATATTTAAAAAAACTAATTATTTTTTTTTTTTAATTTATTTATTTATTTATGGTTGCTTGTTGTCGGTTAGGTTGGCTGGAACAAGTGGGTCAGTCTGGTCAGGAACCACTCAGGGCTAATCTCATCAGGGGGTGCCAGAGATGCTCACTGGCGCCAACGAAGACGCCAGAAGCATCTGTGATTGGTTAGAGAGGCGCTGTGTATCTGCAGCGACCCCCCCGTTCCCTTTTGGCTCCCCTCACCTGTCGTTGCTTGGTTCCCTCTTTTGGGGCAAACATTTGATCTTTTCTGAACGATCGTGAGTTGATCAATTTTGATGTGGCATGATCTATGCCGTCGCCATTTTGGCGAAAAAGATATGGCAGACACTCTGCCCGGCTGATCAGTTTTTGTTGGACCTGGGTGCTGCCATGGCTGTCGCTCGGCGAGGAGGTGGTGGAGGAGGGGGATGGCCAGGGGGCTGGGGTGGTGCCGGTCGAGCCCGCCCCAGCGAGGCACACAACCCCTGGGAGATTCGCATCCCACACTTCCTGTCACGGATCGCCGACACCGACGTCGAGTCGGAGAGCTCCATCATTGTCATAGACACACGAGACAATCGTCCCGTGAGTCCTTTTCAGTGTTGGCTCGTCAAGGAAATCATGACTGACGCCAGATCCAGCATCAATGTTCTTACAGAGCGGGATCAAGTGATGCCTCCGAGTTCGGGCTTTCACCTCACCCTGTTTGCGAACTACAGGCTGGACAGGATCACGACAGCGAGACCGGTTCGCCCTGCAGGGATTGGGATGGGCCCACTCTCTCCCGTGCTCGGCCGGTGCAGTTCACCGCGCTGGTTGGAGAAGTGATCCGGAAATGGCTGCCTCGGAAACATCAGATCGCGATGGTCGAGCTCTTGGCGGTCGTTGTGGCGCTCTGCACTTTCAAGGATAGCCTGCAGGGCACGTTCGTGCTGTGGTTCGTCGACTCCAAGCTATTATTATTATTCTTATTATTATTTATTATTAATCATCATCAATTATTAATTTTCTTATCATTATTATCATTATCATTATATTATGATCATCATCATTACTGTTGTTGTTATTATAATAATACTAGTTATTAGTATTATTATTATCATTACTATTGCTATTATTATTATTCTTATTGTTATCATGATTATCATGGTTTTTGATACTTTATTACATATTTGTGTGTGTGTGTGTGTGTGTGTGTGTGTGTGTGTGTGTGTGTGTGTGTGTGTGTGTGTGTGTGTGTGTGTGTGTGTGTGTGTGTGTGTGAGACTTCCTTTTTTTTCTGGGGGGGGCACGTCCGGGGGGCGAAAGCGTGAGACTTCGCTAATCACTCAGGTTCCCCTCAACTTGTGATTTGGAGTGGCGGCTTGGGGAGGTGAATGCCTGGTTCTAAAGGGTGGATGGGAAACCCCCCCAAACACACCGTGCTCCAAACCAACAAATAGCGAGAAGCTGAAACTCCCTTAAAACTTGAGCGTGTTTAAAGGATTGGTTTTGGTTCCTGGCTTCACTTGAATCCACCATTTTGACTTCTAAATAGAAACATTTTCTAATTTTTGCCAAGGGGCGGAATTGCAAGGTCCAGGAAGAAAGCGGGGTTTGCATGGTTTGCGGGAGCACGAAGCACCAAGACGCGGCGTCGGCCACTTCCTCTAGGCTCTCGGTTTTGCCCTGCCCAAAGCTTGCTGGCGAAGCCAGCCATGCGGTTCCTTAGCTTTGTAGATCCTTTTAGAAATTAGTGGCAGTTTCCGAATTTCACCCACTAAAAGTTCTACAAACTTTTAGCGGGGGATCTGAAAACGGGCAGCCCAGGAAGGACATGCTGTTGTCCGACCTTCAACTGGGTTGACGCAGCTTCCCCACTTTACTGGTCCCAAACGAATCTTGGTTTTCCAGCAGCAGAACATGGAACGTTTATGATCGGAGTCTTCTTTTGGGGCACCCATAGGCTTCCTTGCTGTTTTGCAGGAGGGGCCAACTAGTCGCAAACACGATTCAACCATTGTCAATGAGGCAATCATGTTTTAAACTCTTCACCAGGGGAGGCTGCTTCCCGCACTCAGAAGGTAATTTAGTTTGAGAATGGCGGTCTAAGTATTTTTCAGCCCCTGCAGACTGGGTTGTATGCGCGAAAGGGCAGCAGTTGCCATCTGAGGACAGGGCGAGGTGGGCCACTGGTCTGCATGGAGTCTGGGGGGAGGGGTCGACTCGACTCCAGGTTGGCCAGCATAAGGTTCGGCCGAAGGGAATGTCCAGCCTGTCCATTTGGAAGGGGTGAACTGTACTTCTGTTGGGGCAAAACAACAAGTTTCTTTTTCTTTTGGCGTATCAGAGTTGATCAACCTTTCCATCAACCGGCCTCTTGTTTTCACTTGACAAGTTGTCTTTTTTTTGGAACTCCCTTCAAAAGGCGGCATGTCAGCCAAACGGGACCCACAACTGGCACTAGGTTTGACAAGACACTTGACTCAAGGGCCAACATTGATACAAGTTGGTTACTTTGCCTGGGTCGCTTTCCCTGCCTGGACCGCGGGTTCGTTTGCATTTGTTGCAAGGCTTGATGTTCTCGGGGTGTCTCTCCTCCCAAGTCAGGTCAGAAATGTTGCGCAGAGAGGAGGCAGAGAGCGCAAGTTGTTTTTCTTCATTTAGGGGTTTCTCAAAATGGTCCCCTAGAACGGTCCATGGTTTCCTTTTGGTTTCCCTTGAGTGCCAACTGAAAGGGGTCTACAATTTTGACAAGCACTCACTCATTTGGGTTGTCAAGCTGCTTGTGTTTTTGAGGGTACCCTCCCATCGAATCCAACATGGAACCTGACTGGAAGGTCCCCGACTATTCTCCTCTTTCGGGCCTGGTGGGTTTCAGGTTCAGGAGGGTACCACTTTGGTTTCTCGGTGGCTGCTCTCCGGTTCCTTTGCTTTTCAGCGGAGCTAGGGCTTAGTGGTTGGGTAACCCCCATCCAACCCCTAAAAGTGAGTCACTGTTCGCAGATCTGAACACGGACAGCCCAGTTTTGACCTTGGGTGACACAGTTGAGCAGGGCCACCAAAAGGCAAACCCCGCTTGTGGATCTCCAGGCTCCAAGCTCCAATTTCCGTGCCGGCTGGCTTGGACACCGCAGATGGTAGTGTCTCTTTGCTCTCCCCCCCCCTCTCACAGGGCTTTTGGTTGGCCGGAAAAGACAACCAACAGGAAACATCAGGAAACTGTCACATTGTTGAAGGTCCCGGATCATGGAACTGTCACCCTAAACCCTAAACTCTAACTGGGAGCTAAGATCCTTTGCTTTGAAGCGCATCGGAACTTCGAGCGACGCCCAGCGAATCAACCTGACCTGCAGTTGCATTTTTGGTTCATTTGTTTTTGGTGGCTCCAAGCCGTCCCCTTAGCCTTTTGGACTTTTAGTGTTTAGTGGTAGTTTCCGAATTTAACCCACTAAAAGTTGGTCACTTTTAGCGGGGGATCTGAGGGCAGCCCAGTGTTGTCAAGGTTCTAAAGGCTTCACCTTTTTCATTCCCCTGTGTTTTGGGCAACCGATAAATTTGTTTTGGCGACAGGCCATTATCAGACTGACATCACATCAACTGCTTGTTTTAGCGAGAAGTCAACCGGCGAATATGAAGAATACACGTTACCAAAAACAGTATGCCCGTTTATGTTCCTGTTCTTTGGCAACCTTTTTTGTTGGCCACAGATGTCACTGCGAGAAGAACAAACAAATACAGGCCAAAAGGTGGGTTTCAATTTAGAAAGCCAAGGCAGAGCACTCTTCCTCATCGAGTGTGGTGAATGCACAGTGGTCACCCGCTGCAGCCTGAGCTCAGCTCGATTCGCCTGTGGTTTTTGTCTGCAACCCTCCAAAAAGGAGTTCTGTATTTTGAGACAGACCCATGTGGTTAGATGCAGTTGAAGTCCATTTGTGGGAATCAGCCATGCAAGCAAAAGCGACATTTCGATGACTGTCGCGTAGCGCAAACACTAGTGATTTCTTATGTCAGGCGACCCTTGATTGGTGGCGAGGATTGGTAGTTTGGGGTGGGTGAGCTCATTCGACAACCAGGGGAGCTTGTGATAATTTGCCCAGACAAAATGCTCTCTCTCTCTCTCTCGCTCTCCCTCTCTCTTTTTCCTCGCTCTCTCTCTCTCTCTCTCTCTATTTCTCTTTCTCTTCTTTTTTTCCTCTCTCCTCTTCTTCTCTCATCTCTTCTTCTCTCTTCTTTTTTTTGTCTGCTCTCTCTTCTCTCTCTTCTCTCTCTTCTCCCCCTCTCTCTCTCTCTCTCTCTTTCTCTTTCTCTCTCTCTCTCTCTCTCTCTGTGCAATATCTGTACATTCTCAGCTTCACTCCAATCGTTGGCGTGGACTGGTGGTTAGGTCAGGGGCTGGTTTCCGGCTTATCTACAAGAACCTGATGAAGGTTCCTCAGGGGATTCATTGATTCCGGCTTGTGAATTCTAATTTGCCCAGAACGCCAAGGAAGGATTTCGCGCCGTCCATCATTTGGTCTAAATGGACCGTCGGACTCCCCATCGCTTTGGCGGTCAACTCTTTGTTTCCCCAGCACGGTGGATCGGATCACTCGGGGTTTCTCCAACCACTGTGGATACTTTTGGGGTTCTCCCCCAGAAAAGAGTCTTTGGGGTTTTCGGCCCTGGGGTTTTCCGCTTTCTGTATCACAGATTCGCCTTCCTTTCGAGGGTCCCAGTCGCTTGGAAGGAAAGCCCAAATGGAAGACCGGGGCCCATGGCTTTTTTTTTCTGGGCCCCCTGTGGGGCATGTCTTTTGCTCCTTTTTTTGGGGGGTGCCCTGTTTGGGGGTGGCTTGAAATGGAAGATGAAAGGAGAACCGCCTATTTTGGAGGTCCAAACCCTATTTGACACATCATATTGGGACACCTTGCTAGATCCATATGGGCGTCTTTTTTGAGGGTACCTGTTTTGTTTTTTTGAAGAGGGGAGGGGTGGCGGGTTTTGAAGGGACACCGAAAGGACACTGCCATGTTGCGGGGTTCCAAATCCTAAAAAAAGACGAGCCACCCATATGGCCATGGTTCAAAACCAAGGGGGTGCACCACCCATTTTAGTCTATTTTAGTGGGGATTGGGAGTTCACTTGGGGGCACGGGGTTTTGACCCATGGCCATACTGGTGAAAGGGAGGGGAGAGTTGAATCGCCATGGCTTCAGGTTCTTTTCTCAGTGGACCCACAAAACACTAAAAGGGTGGTATTCCTCTTGGTTTACCAACTCAAAAAAGATGAACCACCCATATTGGCGCAAAGCACCGGTTGAATCGCACCATTTCAGGCGAGACGCCCCAGTCCCCGGAAGTCGTCCGCACGACTCTGGTGGCCGGAGACTACTTCGGAGGGCACACCCTGATCAACGAGCGCTGCTCGGCTCGGGGGAAATTCGATGCTCTTCCAATGGATAATGGATTTTTTTTTTTGGGCAGTTCCCTTCCATTTGTTTGGAGCGAAAATAACAGAACATGTTTCCCCTGTTGGTTGCAAAGGGACTGAATGTATGAGATGGATCCGATGGTTTTTTCTTCTGGACGGTCACCTGGCATTTTTGGGGTTTGTGAATATGTTTTGAATTTTCCTTTGTTGAATATGTTTTGCATTTTCCCCTGTTGGTTGTAAAGGGAATGAATGTATGCCTACTGGACATATGTTCCTCACTTTTCTCCAGGGGACTCCAGGGATTGATTAATTTTCTCCTTTTCGAGGGCCCAGGAATTGTTTTTTGGATGGTCCCAAAATGTGGGAATCTGGGAATCGGGAGTCATTTTCCGATTTTGGCCTGCGAGGGAAGCAATTCAGTATGGTCCCTAAATCTGTAAATCTGGGAATCGGGACATTCATTGTCCGATTTTGGCCTGCGAGGGATTTGGGTTCGTGGATGGTCCCTAAATCTGGGAATCCCCCAAAAGTCTGGCTTGTGTGTGATTTTGTTTGTTGTTTTTCCGACCTTCGGGCCGAGTTTTTGGTTTTGTTATGGAACAACAACAACAACAACAACAACAACAACAACAACAACAACAACAACAACAACAACAACAACAACAACAACAACAACAACAACAACAACAACAACAACAACAACAACAACAACAACAACAACAACAACAACAACAACAACAACAACAACAACAACAACAACAACAACAACAACAACAACAACAACAACAACAACAACAACAACAACAACAACAACAACAACAACAACAACAACAACAACAACAACAACAACAACAACAACAACAACAACAACAACAACAACAGCAGCAGCAGCAGCAGCAGCAACAGCAGCAACAGCAACAACAGCAACAGCAACAGCAACAGCAACAGCAACAGCAGCAACAGCAACAGCAACAGCAGCAGCAGCAGCAGCAGCAGCAGCAGCAGCAGCAGCCAGCAGCCAGCAGCAAGCAGCAAGCAGCAAGCAGCAAGCAGCAAGCAGCAAGCAGCAAGCAGCAAGCAGCAAGCAGCAAGCAGCAAGCAGCAAGCAGCAACCAGCAACCCAAACCCAACAACCCAACAACCCAACAACCCAACAACCCAACAACCCAACAACCCAACAACCCAACAACCCAACAACCCAACAACCCAACAACCCAACAACCCAACAACCCAACAACCCAACAACCCAACAACCCAACAACCCAACAACCCAAACAACAACCAACAACCCAACAACCCAACAACCCAACAACCCAACAACCCAACAACCCAACAACCCAACAACCCAACAACCCAACAACCCAACAACCCAACAACCCAACAACCCAACAACCCAACAACCCAACAACCCAAACCCAACAACCCAACAACCCAACAACCCAACAACCCAACAACCCAACAACCCAACAACCCAACAACCCAACAACCCAACAACCCAACAACCCAACAACCCAACAACCCAACAACCCAACAACCCAACAACCCAACAACCCAACAACCCAACAACCCAACAACCCAACAACCCAACAACCCAACAACCCAACAACCCAACAACCCAACAACCCAACAACCCAACAACCCAACAACCCAACAACCCAACAACCCAACAACCCAACAACCCAACAACCCAACAACCCAACAACCCAACAACCCAACAACCCAACAACCCAACAACCCAACAACCCAACAACCCAACAACCCAACAACCCAACAACCCAACAACCCAACAACCCAACAACCCAACAACCCAACAACCCAACAACCAACAAGCAACAACCAACAACCAACAACCAACAACCAACAACCAACAACCAACAACCAACAACCACCGCAGCAGCAGCAGCAGCAACAACAACAACAACAATCGGAGGTAGTGTTTTTTGTTTACTCAGTCGGTTGGTTGGTTGGTTGGTTGGTTGGTTGGTTGGTTGGTTGGTTGGTTGGCTGGCCACATCCCCGGCATCACCAGCATCACTTGGACCTGGAGTTGCCTATTGGCTCTGATTGGGTGGCAGTTGGGAGGGTTTAAGTTAGGGGGGGTTTTGGCTGGCTTAGATCTTCATGCGGGTGGTTTGAGGTTGATTTAGGCGAAGTGAAGGGCTGACATCCAGGCTGTTGGGCGGGTTTAGGGTGACTTTGAGTGGGTTTGGGGTGGCTTGGAGCTGATTTGTGTTAGCTGTGCCAGCAGCTCCCAACTGCCACCCAATCAGAGCCAATAGGCAACCCCAGGTCCAAGTGATGTTGGTGATGCCGGGGATGTTGGCAGCTTTGCAGAAAACCGGACCCACGGACCTAGTAAAACAAAAACCACCTCTACCCCCGAAATCTGGGTCCGGATTCCCTGAAGAAGGTAAATTGAGACACTTTGGAGAGATGTCTCCCGGTTTTGTTGGGCACTGCCGTGGGATCTATGACTCCGCGGAGTGGTATGATTCAATGTTGGGTCTTTTACAGGGCTCCTGAAAAGATACATGTTGCTCATTTGAAACATTGTTTTTCCACCAAAATAAGCGGACACCACCATTTGCAAGGCAATGTTCTGGTGTATACTGTAAGGATCCCTGGTTTGCGCACAAATCTTCCTGGCTGAAAGTCGAGACTCAGGGACCCATCACAAGAATGGCCCAGGAAAAGCCTAAGTCGGATGATAACCCTGCCAAGGTAAGCAATGGTGGTTGTATTAACCCCCCATGGTTTTTACAGGAGGTTCGACCAGCCAAAGAGGGGTGGTGTCCTGAGGCGCAGGGCCATGCTTTGCGCCCATCCTTTACTTTCCAAGTTTGGTTTTCCTCGGGGGAGGAAAAGTGAGAAGAGGACTGGTTCTTAAGGTCTCAAGAGGACTGGTTCCTAGGTTTTTTTTGGGGAACTGAACAACCCCTGGGTTTAAGTCTGTCCGGTAGTCAAAAAGTGAAATCGACGAACGCGAGAGATCAATGTCGCCATCTGAGGTTTGAATGTGCAGGGCCCAGTCGAGCAGACCTCGAGCGACGTCGGACGTCGGCTTCGTTTTTTTAAACAACAAAATACGAAAATATGGCGATCAATTGCAAGCAGTCACCAACCAGTGTGTGGGGTCCAAGGTGCCGGACATTGCTTTGGATCCTTCTAGGAAAGTAAAGGACCCCAACGCGTCGAACTTCGCGTGCCCCAACTTGTTGCCTGAGGGGCCGCTCAAACCGCAACCTACGTGGATCGCGGCCCGAACTCCGGGAAAAGAGGTGTTCAAGGCAAAAGCTGAGACCGAACGACTATTGTCAGGGGCCCAATTCTTATTGGCAATGCGGGCGGCCAGTTGTCAAAAGTAAAGTTGACCCAGGATTAATATACCCGTCCCACTAGGGGGGTGTTCCCTCCAAAAGTGAAAAATCCCCACTAAAAGGGGACACCCCCCAATCAAAATCAACCAGGGGTTCTACTTACTCCGGGGTTAACACTATGGTTCACTTCAACTGGTGTCTGGTTGGTTCCTGGCAAGCATCCAATCTTCAAAGGGATTGACTCCATTTGACACAGGAAGTGTTTCGGACGTAGGGCGACCTCAAGAAGCATACAAAACCATGAGGAAGGTGTTTTTTCATCGGGAACCCTTATGTCTAAGGGAAGCAGAGTGCAATTTCTGTGATACTAGGGGAATCCCTTCCATTTCCTTCCAAAATGGCAGAGTCATGAGCCAAACAGAATCTGGATAAACGAAAGTTGGTCAAGAGCAGTCTCAACCATCAATACGTTGGGGCTTTTTGGGAAATAGACCATTGTCTATTGAACCCACAAAAAAGTTAAGCTTTTCAATGGGCAACCAATAATAGGAACGTCTATTCTTTTGATGCTTTACTTTGGGGTCTTCCGTGGACCTCCTTAGTAGGTTAGTCCTGAACCTGAGTGATGCTTTCACTTCAAAACGGGCTCCTGTGGCCTGGTTGAAACTAGACATTCTGCTAGAATTCTTTCCTGATTGAATTCTATTCACATTCGAAGTAGAACGTTGAACAATTCCTCCTGGGAAAGGACACCCTCGTTGAAGTTTGATTTGAAATACGACAACTAATGAGAGTCTAACTCAAAAAATCCTCTTAAAACAGGACGTCATATTCAAGTTCTCCTTCAAACCAGAAATTATCCTAGCATTCTTTTCCCATTCCTAACAGTGCCACCTTTTTGACCAACTTCTGACATCTAAATCCATTTGCTCTAAACACACATATACATCATGTATGTACATATATATATATATATATCAACTCTAACCATTTGAATCAACTTCTGACATCTGCCCCTTCCATTTTCTCTAAACACCAACATATTTTCTATCTGCTCGCCGGCTACCATATATATATATATATATATGTAATTATGATTATTACTATTATTATTATTACTATTATTATTGTTATTATCATTATTATTTTGATTATTATTATTACTATTATTGTTATTATCAATATACATATGTATATATATATATATTAAAACAACAAATAAACACATCACGGCGCTGAGCGTGCGTCGAGCTCGCGACTCGCGAGCTCTCGAGGTGGCCACCATCGTCGCCGGCGGCGGCTCTAACCTGGCATCTCGGATGCCGCCGAAATTTCTGGGCACGGCGCTTTTGCGGTTGTCCATTTCTTGGTGGCAAAGCCAGCCATTCCCTGGGGAACCCGAAATCTAAGCCACGAAGAGATAGCTTTTAGCGGGGGATCTGAGGGCAGCCCAGATTTGTGGGTTGTTCCCACATTGCCCCTGGCCATAGTTTTTCATCAAAACCGATTCGGGTAGATGACGACTTGGTTAGGGGACAAACTCAATAAATAGCTGCGGCCGCCTTTGCTTTTCTTAAATGGTTCTGGGTCAACCATTTTAGTACCGGGTTTTGATTGTGACTCAAATTTGTTGTTTGTTCCAACAAGAGGCCTTCCAAAAAAAAACACAACACCTCAAGAAGTGTAGCCACTTTAAGGGGCCCAGGGAATGAGAAATAGAACGAACCCAGGCTTCGGTCCCCTTAAAGGAAACCACCGGTGGTTTATAAGGGTCATTCCATTTCTCATCCCCTGCATCTCTCGCACCAGCAAGATTTGTTTTTTGTTCAAACATCCACCAATAGTGGGTACCCTCAAAAAAGAACACACGCATGTTGCAAGTCAACCAAGGTTTCCCATCTAGGTGTCCCTTGAACAAAAATGCAAGATCTTGGCACCAACTCAAAGAAAGGAGAGTGCTTCAATGCAACTGAGCATGTCTCTTCTTAGGATTTGGAGCCCCAAGAACGGCTTCGGCTTTCCATTTGGGTTCCCTTTTACCATTAAACAGTTGGTACCAACTCCAAAAGACGAGCAACACGCATTTTGCAAGTCAACCATTTGAAAGCCACAAAACTAGGGCAATTTGGTGGTAAAGTAGAAAGGATTTCCGTGCACTATTTATCACACCCCTTAGCTAAAACACACACACACACACACACACCTATACGTGGTATATGTGCTTTCATTTTTTCAGCTCCTCCAAACGATTTTTGAGCCCCGGTCGCTAAGAGGGACCACATGGGAAGAGACACCATATTTTTCCCCAACAGCTGAAACTCAGCCCAGATAAGGTTTGGGGGTGGCTTGGGAGAGCTCTGGAGCAAGGTTCCGGAGGTTTCGGGGATGTGCAGGCCAGGTGTAAGGTTCAAGGCAGGTTCCGGAGGTTCTGGGTGGTCTGGTGCAGGCCAGGTGTCAGGTTCAAGCAAGGTTCCGGAGGTTCGGGGTGGTCTGGGGCAGGCCAGGTGGCAGGTTCAAGCAAGGTTCCGGAGCTTTCGGGGTGGTCTGGCGCAGGCCAGGTAACGTTCTTGGCGGGCGGTGTGGTGAAGGTTCCGCAGGTTCCGGGGTGGTCTGGTACAGGTTCCGGGTGGTCTGGCGTAAGGTTCAAGGAAGGTTCCGGAGGTTCCGGGGTGGGCAGACGGAGACGCGCCGCTTGTGGAAATCTTGCAGATGGAGTCCGTGAGATGGATCATTAACTACCACTCCGAATGAAGCTCGGGGAGACGCGGAGGCCAATGAGGTGGACATCAGATTTGGCGTCTACCAGCATTTGGCGCAAGGGCATCAGCCATAGCAGGCTTTGTGCAGGGCATGCTCCAAAGCGGAGGGCCGGCCGGAAATCATGGTGACGCCATGGATGTAGATTTTGAGACGCCAAGTGCAGACGACATGGACGTGGACAGGACCATATTTGAATATCAGTGCAGGTTGACGAATCAGTTCTTGGCAGACAAAGTCAGGAGATCGGGAACATGTGAAGTTGTATCTGCAGGCCGCGGGCCTGACAGACACGGAAACGGCCAAGCAGATGCGACCCTTTGTTCGAGAAGCGAAGGATCTAGTTGGCCAGGTCTCGCCACAGAATTGGGCGAGGATCAAGAACTGTTTGGAACACAGTTTCTCTCGGCAGGCAGATGTGCGAGAAAAGGGAATGTTTGCGAGCCCAGAAGCACTTGAGAGTTGGAGCGTTGATGGCAACCGGAAGGCAGTTCATGTGAAGTATGAGGAAAACAGGTCATCTTTGTTTGAACTTGTTTGTTCCGGACAAAGCGTTGCTTGATCAGTTGAATTTGAGGTTTGCGGACTTTCACGGTCGAATGCTGGACGAGAGGGAAGTCGGAAACAGGAGAGTTTGAGAGGAGAGACAATGTTTGTTTCTCTGGTTCCCCTCAGGTCAACTTAGAATACATGTGGGTAGGTGACACGTGGTTGCAACTGGTCACGCACAACGGGACTCAGGGATCACGCGAGGAAGAAGGTGAAGCAGGACACGCAGGAAACGGGCGCAGAGGATCTGAAACACCCAGGCAGGTGGCCAGGTTTCCAGGCGATGAAGGGGTTCTCGAGAAGTTCTTGAGGAAACATGAGGGACTGCAAGTCTGGCGTGAGCCACTCATGGATTTGCGCAGAGGAGCTGAGAGAGTGATTTTGGAAGTTTGTTGCAACAAGGACTCCATGTTGGCGTGTGTGTCACAGTATTTTGGCACGGTGCACTTTGGTGTGAGCAAGCAACAGGACATCACTCAGGCAGCCACGCGTCATGTTCTGCGCTGGTGTCAGGTGCGTCGGGTTCAGGTCCTGGTTTGGATCAGTTCACCACGCACGGCAGGTTCACAGGCATCAGGCGCATCAACTATAAGAAGCACGCGCGCGGTCATGAGATGGAAGGATCGCATGCGGGAGCATAGGAGCATCTGGCGGGGCATTCGGTGTTTGCTGGATGGGTTTGAGTTCACGCGCATTGCACAGGAGTGGCCCTTTGTCTCGGATCTGTGGCAGGAACCTTCTTACTTGAGGAGTGCGAGAAGCCAAGGTGAATCGTATGGCCAAGTGTTGGCGGGTCAGAAGCGATCTTTCGGGTTTTTCCTCTTTGCTTGACACGGGAAAATGTGTTTGCAAGGGAGAGAGGATGTCGATAACGGCTTCAGATTTTTACTCATGGGAGGCGGCTGTTCACATCCATAGGATGTGGAGACGGTCACAGCAAGGAAATTGAACTTGCTGACGACGCATGTAGCTCAAGGACAGCTCAAGGAAAAGCTCGACGCAATGGTGCTTCTGGCGGTGGCGTTCCTTGGTGGCTTCCTCGTGGGATCCATCGTGGTGGTGGTCACTGGCCGGTTCAAGCAGATCAAGGCAAAGGTTGATCATGAGAATTCGGGAGCTGTCACTGAGGATTTTGTATTTCCTTCAAAGAACTCACTGGCCAAAGGCAGAGGTGAGGAAGTTTGGATCATTGGCGGTCCATCGTCAGTCAAGTACCATCGCAGGAACTGCCGTGCGGTGGTGCAGTTTGAAAGAAGGATGAGGAGGTTTTTACCTTGTTTGGTTTGCTTTGGAAGCAACAAGCTGGAATGGCGGAGTGTTGGTGGCTCAGGTTTTTCCCTTTTTTTGAAGAGCTCCAGTCGATTCTCGGCCATGAAGCGGCCAGCGCGTGCAGCTGAAGAGGAGAACCAGTTGAAGAAGAAACCGAGCATGGCATCTGCAAGAGCAGGATCGGGAACCGATGAGTCCGATGAGGTTCGCTACGACACGGAGGATGAGGGTGACAAGGTCGTGCTGGGGTACTGCAATATTGCGGTAACACGCACACTGCATCTGACGAGGTTGTGTCATCGGGCGAGCTGCAGGTGGCTTCAGCAGACCACGAAACACGTGGTGCGACCTTGCAAGGAGTGCTACCTGGAGGAGAATTGGGTGGCACATCGGGATGATCCTCTACGTGATCGGGTGCCGAAGATTTGGTACCGCTTGAGCGGTGGCTACCCTGCGGAGTACCACAAGGCAGAGAACGCGCTGTGAGAACGGAGGCATGCTTTTGAAACCGACCCCAAAACTGACAGCGCCTCAGATCCTATCCGGGTCTGTCTGTTTTTGAGTTGGTACCCTTTTTCGGGAAACCAACAGGAAACCACCAATTTGGGGTCCAATTTCTAGAAGAAAACGAGCCGCCCATATGGATTTAGCAAGGTGTCAAAATACTAGGTGTCCTTTCTGGGTGGTTTGGTTTTAGAGGGACACCAAAAGGACATCACAAGGACCACCACTCCTTTTGGGCTGCGCGTGCCACCAAAAAAAAAGCGCCGAGGCTGCCATGTCTTTGGTGCATTTTGCTTGGATGTTGGGACTTTATTTGTTTGCCAACCAGTGGCTTTTCCGTATTAAGCCACTGACTGTTCACTTTCAGCAGGGCCGACCAATGGCTTTTCCGTATAAAGCCACGAAAAGTTCGTCGCTTTCAGCAGGGCCGCAGGTTTCAAGCCGAGATCCGAGACGAGGTCACGTTGTCCTTGTCCCGCGAGCGCTTCGATGCTCTGGGCCTCCGGCGGTGGAGCTCCGGCGAAAGATTTCGGCCGAAAGCAGACGCCAACCCTTTGGTGCATTTTGCCAAGGGATGTTAGGACTCCAACTTTTTGCCAGCTAATGGGTTTTCCGTATTAAACCAGCTAAAAGTTAGTAACTTTTAGCAGGGGAGCGGCAAGCAACCGAGAACCCCCTCGGGGGGGTTAAAGTGAGGGGTCCGAGGGGGAAGCAACTCCTTTTTTCGGGCAAATAATTTTTGGGGTTCAGTTCCCAGTAAAAAAAAGGTGACTGACTGACGCCTGGTTTTGGTGGGAAGTTGGCCAATTGCTGGTTTCTACGGCTCGATTTTCACGAAGCATTCAAACTGAAACCACATCAAGCGACCCAGATTCGACTTGCGATCGGTGAGATTGATAGGGAAGGACTTTCCGAGCTCCGGGTGGGCATGAACCGTTTATTTATTTTTTTCTCAAAGGAAAACACGGGATTGTTGTTGGGGGTCGTTCCAGTTGTGGTTCCCTGCATCTCTCGCACCAGCAAGCTGAGGCCTGAGGGTTCCTTCCAATTCCCAATGAGGGTATCCCTGAAAACCAAATCGGAGCAGCCACGTTCAATCAAGCTTGGTTCAGCACATGTTCAAGATGTTTTTTTTTTTTTAGTTTGTTATTTCTTCTTGCGCTCCCTTTCTCTTCAGCGCCAGGAGTCGATCCGCCAATCCCTTGGAAGAGGTCATGTTTGTCAGCC